ATTTCTCCAACATATCTATACATCTGTTGATGATATCTAAATGTAACTTAGGATGCCACTATTATGCATTTTAACCTGATGACATTTGTGTCTATGGAGACTACCAAGTAGCCTTTGATACCCAGCAGTGACTGGTCGCATGCATGTAGGATTATCTGTGTGCCTGCATCGTCATGATTTCCATGAAGACTAATATATTCTCGCCTGGTTGATTTTGCATCCTTTATATCATCAGTGAAACCACCTCCAACCACAACTGATATCGTTGCGGTAGAACTTTTCCACTTTCCACGATGGCTTCTAATAGGAATCGTGCTAGGCTAGCTTTGTTCTTGTCCATACCCTTCCAACAATAGGCTTACGTAAGGGCTTCTTTCCAAGTCTCTCGGTTCTCATAGCTGCCTTTGTAGAATCTACTGCAATGTATTTGTCAAATACAAGATCAACCCACGATGTATATTCTCCAAAATATTTAGTAAATGATCTCTGGAAAACAACAGAGTAATCTTCAAATGTGTGACATCCGTGTGGTTTGCCTAGTTTCCATCTCGACATCTGGAATGTATGGTGGGATATCAATTGTAGCTGATAGGATGCCAATCAGTTCGTTCAGCTTTAGATGTGTAGTTTATCTAACAACCCAGTTTAGCCAAGGACAGTGGAACTGTGAAAAACTCGTGTCTGAGGATTTTTGTTATTTCCAGTGAACGACCAGCATTTGTAGCATTTAACAATCACTGCAGCATGTGGCCTATTAACCTATAGATTAATAGCCAGTATTAATTGTTTCTTACGATACATATAATCTATAGGGGGTAGGTAGTAGGTATAGTAATTATTAATAGCTATAACGTATCATATCCCAACCTAAGACATAATTGTGTTAATAACATTTTAAATATTAATCTTAGTGAAAATATCATATCGTAAAATAAATTATAAATTTGATTTTGCGTCGAATAGGCCCAAATTTATAGAAGACTTATTTCCATATATTATTTACCTATTTGACCTTTAAATGACCTTTAGGGTAAAAATCCAGTGTGGCATCCACCCAGATTTTTTTTTTTTTAACAAATAAGCAATCGAACGAGCGTGGGTGTTTGGTTTTAACAAAATGCCACAACTTGTTTATATAGAGCACTTTTCGATAGTTGGCTGGTCAACTAAGAAGCTTCGTCAAGAACAGTTTGATACTTTTGTAGCAGAGCAACTGCTGTCTTGTAACAGGATTATCACAGACACCTTGCTTAAGAACAAGCTATCTCTCTTCAGCAGGCCTCACCCAAAATCAATCTGAAAGGATAAACTTTTAATGGCTGACCTTAAAGGTGACAGGGGCCCATTTGCATAACTTTACATTGCTTCACAGTCTCGGGACGGTTATTTAGGAAACTTCTTCAAGCATGAAAATCAGCCGTATCCAACCGGTTTATCAGAGTACAGCAAGTTAAGACCCCCATCTGCAAAAGTATATGAAGCTCCAGACGTTGATGCTGCCATCCTGGATGGGCCTTTAGTGATTACGCAACTACGGAATTCTTCCCTCTCATCAATTACTATCTCCGTACTGCTAATCGCCTGGACCTTGTATGAGATACTTACAAAGATGACAGCTGGAGTTCAACCAGAGCCAGACGTGATGCAGGCATCCGTAGACGTGTCATAGCTGATGCTAAGATTCCATCAAACTTTAATATCGACTTCCTGAGACAGTGACATTAAGCTTGAATTATTTGACTTCTTCACAGCTGAGATTCTTAAAGGCACATATCCTGGCAGGGGAATCTGTGTCACCCATGGCCCAAATGTACTGTCTGTACCAATGAGAAATGATATGAGTAATGTTACACCATGTTCTCCCAAAGAGGCTGACACCCATATTACCCTACATGTTAAGGATTCTACCAACAGAGTTATCATAAAGTTCTTGTCAGACCGTGGATTTTTAAGTTGTTGCATTACGCATAGGAAATATAAACAAGAAAGACCTGGATGAACTGCGGATAGCATATGGTACAGGGAAAGATTTGTGCTTCTTGCCCGTGTATGAGAATCGCATCAACACTTGGTGCTGAAGTCTCTAAAGCCTTTCGTGTGTTCCACATATTTACAGGGTGCAATACCACATAAACAATTGCAGGGAAAAGGAAGTCTATTGCCTGGAATACCTGTCAACTGTATCCACGAGTAACAGAGGCCTTTAATGAGGTGAGCAAATGCCCACAGAATATCCCACTTGAATGTAAAGTAATAATGGGAAGATTTGTTGTTCTCATGTTTGACAAGGCCAGTGAGCGTGTAGAAGTCAAAATACCAGGGAGGCTATGTGTGGGGCCAGGTTTTGTCTCCAGACTCAGACTTGCCCAACCCTGAAAATTAGGGATGGCACAAATGTGACAAAATGTGGGAACCTTTGTGAACCAAACTCCCTGTAAAGGACTCATAAGCTGTGGATGTAAGACAGGCTGCAGGCAGTCATACTGTGGATGTATGAAGAATTCCCTGAAGTGTACTGAACTGTGTTATTGTGCTGGGCAATGTGTGTGTTGAATGTTAATTATACAGTATGATGTGTAACATAGCTTCCAGTAATTATACTACTATGAATTGTAACCACGCTGTGCACTGGTGTCACATAATATTTGTATGATGCTCAAAGAAAACAATATTTTGTAACAATGTTAGAAGACAAACCCTTTGGTCACCCAAGACACCCGAGACTAACCCTTTGGTCACCCAAGACACCCAAGACTAACTCTTTGGTCACCCAAGACACCCAAGACTAACCTTTTGGTCGACCAAGACACCCAAGACTAACCATTTGGTCACCCAAGACACCCGAGACTAACCCTTTGGTCACCCAAGACACCAAAGACTAGCCCTATGGGCACCTGAGACACCCAAAACTAACCTTTTGGTCACCCAAGACACTCAAGACTAACTCTTTGGCCACCCAAGACACCCGAGACTAACCCTTTGGTCACCCAAGACACCCAAGACTAGCCCTATGGTCACCTGAGACACCCAAGACTAACCATTTAATTACCCGAGACACCCAAGACTAGCCCCTTGGTCACCTGAGACACCCGATCTAACCCCTTGGTCACCTGAGACACCCAAAACTAACCCTTTGGTCACCTGAGACACCCAAGACTAACCCCTTGGTCACCTGAGACACCCAAGACTAACCCCTTGGTCACCTGGGACACCCAAGACTAACCCCTGGCCACCCGAGACACCCAAAACCAGCCCTTTGGTCACCGGAGACACACAAAACTAACCTTTTGGTCACCACAAAGACTAACCCTATTGTTATGGTCACCCGAGACACCCAAGACTAACCCTATTGTCACCCGAGACACCCAAGACTAACCCTATGGTCACCCGAGACACCCAAGACTAACCCTATGGTCACCTGAGACACCCAAGACTAACCTTTTGGTCACCCGAGACACCCAAGACTAACCCTATGGTCACCCGAGACACCCAAGACTATCCCTATGGTCACCCAAGACACTCAAAACTAACCCTTTGATCAACTGAGACACCCAAGACTAACCCTTTGGTCACCTGAGACACCCGATCTAACCCCGTTTTCACCTGAGACATCCAAAACGAATCTCTTGGTCACACGAGACACTCAAGACTAACCCCTTAGTCAACAGAGTGTATTTAATATGAGTGTTCGCGCGAATAATGATGTAGAAGAGTCACATAGAAAATTAACACCCTTGGCTGTGCAAATGAGCACTTGTACAAACTTAAAGAATTATTACACATAGAGGCCTCACTGGTAACCCTGCAAGTCTAATTCGTGAAAGATTGTAAACTAAAAAGCGCTAACAAAAGAAAAATTTCAAGAACATGTGGAGTCGCCTGTTCCATTTATGAGACCAATATATTAATAAAGATAAAAAGACATCCCAGCTCCTGTCTCCATGTAGCCACCTCGCAGCACCATGTTTAGAATAACTTGTATAAGTGATTTTAATAAATAACATGTTAGTCTTTTGTGTATATCGTGTATCAATGTTTTTTTAGTATTCTTTTAATTCGGCATGAAGAATAACCTGTATAACCTCACCAATAATAATTGACTTTAATAAATTGTACAATTCTTTCGTGGATATGGTAAATTTCTTTCTCTCTTTTAATTCACGTATAATTCGTTTATGGAAGACATTGAATACCGCTATTGCCTTGTACTTTTGATCTTTCGGTCTAAGCATCTAATGCCCTAAAGTTCTGAACAGAACTCATTTCCGTGACTCGGTTTCACCATGGAGAGAAACTTTTGTCAGCGACTGTACATTGATTGCAACACTTCTAGAGATTAAATATATTGAACAAATATTAGCCTTGACATACTTGCAATCACGTCTATAAATGCTATTGTTATGTGGCACCGAATATATATTGAAATTAGAGGTTCAGTACTTCAGAGGTAATTACCCAGCTTGTTCAGTAGGTAGGACTATATGTTATATTATTTTGTTCTTGTATGTAATAATTGTATATATATATATATATATATATATATATATATATATATATATATATATATATATATATATATATATATATATATATATATATATATTGATTTATAATATGTATGTATCAAGCAAATCAGCCTATGTCGTGTATTACTTAGTGATGGCATAACACTTATTGTACAGTCGGGGTCAAAAGTCTTGAACACTTGACAGTATTTGGCATGTAAATACCCGAAGATCTTAGGTTTTAAGGAGAGTTTTATCCCATTTTGTGGTTCAGGCATAATATGTGATGACAAGTAGTGTTATTAGTATATCCCAATCATATATGTATAACTCAGAAGTAGATGCCAGATATTGTTAAGTGTTCAAGACTTTTGACCCCGACTGTACATATAAACAATTTGTACAATACATACTAGTCTTAATGTTACTTCAACAAATATACAATTTGGGCAATAAAATAGTGTTCCTATTCTGCATTAATTTTTGTTGTCTCACCTGCGGCCACCACATTGGAGAGGAAGATCTCTGCCTTGTCCTGGGAGATGATGTGTGGCAGGATGAAGAGAACACCCTGCTGGAGCACCGTCTCCTCTGCTTCTGAGTTCTCTTCACTGTCATCTGTGGCCAGGTGACAACCAAATCGTCAAAATGATATTATTACACTGCGGTCAAACATCCCTTTATGAACACAGTAATAGGTATACATTCATCGAGGTAAATCCCCTCATCAGTAGGTAGTGTTAGGCTACACTTAGAAAGAAACTAGAAAAAAAAACAATATAAATAATGCTGGCAAGTAAGATCATTAAAAAGACATTAACTTTGTAAGATATAATAGTGGTATTCAGTTGGCAACTGTTTATAAGTCAAAGTAATTACCATGTCCTAGGTATTGCTTCTCTAGCCACGGACCCTTTATTGTTTAGAATGGAGAATTATCGAATAAATTAATAAGCAGTAAACACCTCAAACACGATCAAACCATATTAATAGTTAAAAAAATAAAAACTCGGCGCTGCGGGACCACAATAAACAATACTACAGGAATAATTAGCAGGGAGAGTGAAACAACATAATAATCACTAAATTCACCAACAAGATGCAGCACACCACTAAATAGTGCCATCGCAACGATGATGACACATTATAGTGATCGGCTGAGACCCATTACTGATGATGAACTCTCTATGAAGATAATTGAGTAATATTTCTAAATATTTAAATATAAGTTATCATAGTCATATTATTTATAATGATTATTATCCACAGATATATATTTTTCTTATTTAAGTCACCTTAACTTTGGAGATACCGTTTCTTTTCCTACATGAATAACAACTGAGCCTTGAAATTATGAGAGGATAACATTTCCCTGACAACAGCCAGCTGTTGCTGAATTAGTCCGTTTTAGGAAGCACTTGTACTGTATAATGAATCTCGCGTATGAGAGTTGTGAATAATATAATCAAATGTGCAGCCCTTGGAAATTCCTTTAACATAAAAAAAATATTATAGTAAGTTACATCATAGCAATAATGTGACCAGAGTAATGACAGACGACCATGTTTTCAGAGATGCCCTTGTATTAGCCCCTGTCTTACAGAGAGTAATACTTACTCGTTGAACAGGCTTTGTGTGAAGTATAACAGAGTCTAGGTTTGCTTTTAGTGTCCTGGTGGTCCAGAGGTTAGCGTTCCACAGTCATGGGCTCGTGGGCCGTGGGTTCGAGTCCTGGCGGGTTGAGGTGTTGATTGTATGCAGAAGTCAACGTGTTTATTGGGCTAATGAAATATATATATATATATATATATATATATATATATATATATATATATATATATATATATATTTCATTAGCTGACTTCTACATACAATCAACACCTCAACCCGCCAGGATTCGAACCCACGGTAACTTTCCTATGAGCAGTATTTAGTCAGCATGTGGACATGTGACAGTGTATTCCCACTGTGCCCTCACTCTAAACAAGGCAGGTTGCTCGGCCTCATCATCTCTCGGACGGGCATCATTCCCCACGTAAAGGACAGACTAAATAAAGCCAAAGTCGCCGCAGCCAAATTAAAACGTTTTAAACTGATGCCTCAGAAGATACAACTTCACCTGTACAAGACGCTGGTGAGGCCTGTGTTGGAGTACCCATCTATACCACTCGTCACACTCGAGAAGACTAGACTATAACAAGTACAGAGCTTCCAAAACAAGTGTTTGAGATCAGCCAGTGGCCAAGCCCCACCCTACCAGGAGACAGTGGAAACCATCCACCTAAGAAATAAAATAGAGGCCCTCAACGTCAGGTTCCATCGCCTAGGGAAGAAGGTTTGAGACAAGCTCCTGGACGACCCTCACAGCCCAGACCACCTACGCAAGGAAGACATCAACGGAGGGAGACCCCACGCCTGGTGGCCCCGGAGTCTGCCCGCATTACAACAACCCAACCCGCGACCCATATATGTCCGCCACAGTGATCCACCTTAGATTAAAACTTAGATGATATAAATTCACATTTAACAAGTCACAATCTAGTGAGTCCATAACGTAATACAGTATAAGATTTTAATAAACTTGTAATTGTAAAATAAATCTAGTCATTATCTACTAAAATAACCATTGTGCAACCTCATCCTAAATCCTAGGTTAGCTTAGTTAGCCAACAAACTCTGTAATATGTAAAACAAGGGGTGTCGTCCCCCTCTGTTTATCTCATTAAACTTCTTTTCCAACCTTTCCCCCCACGACTATATGTTGTGACTTCTCCATCCCTCATGTCTGGCTGTGCCTTGAGCCCCAGCATGCCTTCCATCCTTTCCCCACCTTAACCTAAAAAAAAAAATAAAAAAAACACCTTGACCGCAGAGTCATCAATTAAGTAGCCGGCTATCGCCAGTTCAACTCCTGTCTCTGAGCCACTGAGACGTGTGCTCTAAGAAGCTAGATATACCCAAGCTTCGTCCATCATTAACACTCACAGCTCATAGCGTTAATTACGGTGATATCCCAGTTATTGTGCAATAGTAAATTTTCTTAATAAATGGGGATAAGACCATTTACGTGTAAAAACTTAACCCATAAACATTTATGAATGCTGCTTCCAGTTAACCTCTAATTAGTGATTCCACAGGTAACCGGAAACTGGAACATAAAGGTGGCAGCGGTTCTTCGAATCTTTGAACAAAAACTGACGATATTTGGTTAAAGTTTGTCATTCTCCATTTTTTGGGGGTACTTGATATCTACCTTTCTGAAAGGAGGTAAATTTTAGACTTGTGACATCCCAGTTCAATGTACAAGTTTCTATTATTGCTATTATAAGTGATTTAATACATTTGATCACTTCATACGTGGCAACACTGTATAAACCAGCATTACCACATCCTGTAACTTTGCCTTCAAGACGTTGTCATGACTGTTTCAGCTACTAAGCATAACAGCATCAGCAAGCCTTCTCTCCCAGAGAAAAGAAACACCCCAGCATCAAGTAGTAGCCCCAGCCTCAGACCCCTCCCCCCCCAGGGTGAACCTACCCCAGACCAGTGTTGTTTTGATTGGTCAACATCTGGCTCAGCGCTCTCTTGACACTTATAAACAAGGAGTGACCGTGACCTCATCATCTGTCAAGAACTGCACCTCGGCGAGGCAAGATCTACGCTGCTCTCGAGGTACTACGTGAACCTGACGATGCTGACCTGCGACCAGGCGAAGGTCGTAAGACTTCAGGGTATATCCAGTCACATGCCCTTCGTGCAAGCTACTAAACCTCCTTGTCCTAAGAAAGTTTTTTGACTCCTTAGGAATCATGGGGGTGACAAAGGTCGTACGCAGACTAGTGAGTGGTGGTCTTATCGTCACCTTCGCGGAATGGGGACAGGCCCAGCAAATAGCCAACGTAACAGAAATTAACGGGATCCACATACTAGTGGAAGCTCGCACAGAGGACAACTTGGTGTTGGGAGTCATCTCCCACACCGAGATAGAACACCTTGAAAAAGAAGAACTGGCCGAGCTGATCGGAGACCAGCTCTCAATAGTACGGAAGCTGACCAGCGCAACTGCACTGGTTGGTTACCCCAAGAATCTACCAACCACCGTATTGCTGGGATGGGAGAACATCCCAGTAAGACCGTATGAAAGAAGACCAACAAGGTGTTACAAATGCCAGAGGTACGGCCATCTGGCAGGGCAGTGTCGAGCTCGGGAGGTCTGTTGCAGTTGCGGGACACCCGGGCACCAGCACACCAACTGCTCGGCGGCCGCCAAGAAATGCGCAGCTTGTAGTGGCCCTCACTCCTCCTCCGACCGGGAGTGTTCCAAGTGGAGGGAGGAGTGTAGGGTGGCTATGCTGCAAAGCAAGAAAAAACTGAGATACAAGGAGGCTCTTCTTGAAGACCGAAGAAAGGAAGATTCAAGACCCCAACAAGACCACAGAAAAGAAAAATCAAGACCCCCAAGAAAACCACAGAAAAGAAGCCAGAATTATACAAGACCGAAGAAAACGATTTAGTAACATTAACACCATCACCGTTTTTAGACTTTTACGAGAATATACCAGAACAAGACCAAGAAGAAGAATGGCAATTCAAAAGTAAAAAGAACATAAGGAAGAAGTCCAAAGAAAATGACTCAGCAAACAAACAGCTTCGGCCGAAATAGCCTAAAGGCGAAGTGGCCAGTAATCCCCAAAACAAGTTCAAGTTCAAGTGACCTCATTCTCACCAGATGAGACTGCATCCCCTGCAGAACTCTAAGGACTTCAAGACCAGAACTTCAATCAAGTCTTTGTACTTCAATCAAGTCTTTGTACTTCAATCAAGTCTTTGTACTTCAATCAAGTCTTTTACTTCAATTAAGTCTTTGTACTTCAATCAAGTCCTTTACTTCAATCAAGTCTTTTACTTCAATCAAGTCTTCGTACTAGGTATTTCACCAATAGATTTTTACACACAGTAAACATATTATGCAGCATACATCACACGTCAGACGTCGTGATAGGATAGTTTTAATTTATAAGTGCCTTACTTTATATATTACTGACATATTACAATTTAAGAATTTTCATTTACTCATTTAATTATAATTCAATTCATTTACCGTAAATGGATGTGCAGGGTTATTATTGAGTATAATCTTCCTATGATTGAATTATCATTTATAGATGCTTTATTTATCTAATTCAGACATTACGCATTTAATGAAAAGATTACAATAGTACCTCTGAACGAAAAGAAAACACAATACTAATTGATGCAGTTCTCCCTATCTGAGCTGGCATTTTAGGAAAGTCTTCGAGGTAGTAGATAATGACGAAAATTACGATGTTATTTACTTAGACTTTAGCAAAGCATTTGACATAGTACCGCATCAGACGCTTCTGAGAAAAATTGAGGCTCATGCTATCGAGGGGAAAGTTTTAAATTGGATAAAATCATGGCTCACCGATAGAACGCAGAGGGTCAGCGTAGATGGTGTTAAATCTGAGTGGGGCCGTGTAACCAGTGGGGTTCCCCAGGGGTCAGTACTCGGCCCACTCTTGTTCATAATCTACATAAGCGATCTAGATATTGGGATCAGCAGTGACATAAGCAAGTTTGCGGATGACACCAAA